TGGAATCTCTGTAGACCAGGCTGGCCTCAAGCCTACCTGCTTCTGTCTCCCAAGCTAGAATTAAAGGCATGGTCACCACTGACAAACCATTAGGGGTAGGGCTGCGAGCCCAGCAGTAGATGACCAACAGGAAATTAACAGCATCTTTAGGGGTTCCTTGACTCATGGCGTCATGTCATAAAAATTACGTACATATGAAAAATTATACATCTTTTTTACCCTGCAGGCTCTTTTCGTATATATCATGGCTCCCCGTTTGGACTCCCCATTGTGCGAGTGAGCGCATCTGAGTCTGTATCTATTTCTTATGCCTTTTCTTGGGCTCTTTTCCTTCTGTTCATTTGTTTTGTCCTATTCCTAGGAGGCGCATGTCACTTCCATCACTCACCGCAGCCCGTCACTCCGTCACTCCACCCTCCATGGACCCTGGGCATCCGCACACAGGATATGCCCGTGCATGGATGCGCATACACATCCTTTTTAAATAATTAAAAAAAATAAATGTTTCTTTTAAAAGTTCCAATCAATCAGACTGTAATCTCAGCACTCGGGAGGCTGAGGCAGGAAGGTCGCTGTGAGTTTGAGGTCCATATAGTTCTAAGGCAGCGTGGTCTGAAGCATGAGACATTATGTCGCTCCAAAAGAGGTGGGGTAGGCTGAGAGGTGGCTCAGGGGATGATAATGTGCTATTTTATTCTTCTCTGTATGTTTTCCTTTTCTGTACCACTTCAGTCCATAAATTAAAAATTACAAGAAAACGACAGTGTAAAAGTCACCCCTGCCACCAGTTTCTGAGTCTCGTTCTCGGGTAATTTTCACGGATAATACAGACTTTTCTTTCATGTGTGTAGATGTACTGGCATTGAATGTTCACAGAGTAAAGAAAACAAGGCACACAAACCCCAGGGGATAAACACGTAAACTCAGAAAGAAGATTAACGTTTGGTTTTCCTAAACCAAATTTGCTTTTAAAGAGAGTACAAACAACAGGCACACCCCTGTTTGGGGAAAAAAAAAATAGGCACGTCTCCCCTCAGAGTTCTGTTTGCTTAAGCATCAAAGTCCACCATGCATTTCTCCAGCTGCAAACACTAACTCAGCTTTTTAAAAATCAGCGTCAGCTGCACAAGCTACTCATTTAACAGGAGGTGCAGCATCACCCTCCTCCACCTCGGACCAGGACTTGTGCAATGCTTGCCCGGATGGAAATGGTTGTTCAAAATATTCTTTTCACTCATAACAGCCTCCCACTGATTTAAAACTGATTTTATTTCTTCTGAGTCACAATAGACTGGAGATAGATTTGATTTCTGATATACCACAGGATGAAGTCTCCTGCATATATAGATATAATAAAAAATTACAGATACATAAAATAAATGATTGAATCTGAATTGTTGACGTATCTAATTCAGTCCCTAATTCCTGGTGGGTGGGTTTTGATTTTTCTTTCACAATGTTGGAGGTTGCACCTGCTAGGCCAGTATTCTATTGCCGAGCCACACCCCCAGGCATCTTGTTTTTTATTATTTTTTATTGTTGTTGTTTGAGCCAGGATTTTTCTGTGCAACCCTGGCTGTCCTGGAACTCACTCTGTAGACCAGGCTATCCTGGAACGTAGGGATCCGCCTGCCTCTGCCTCCCAAGTGTTGGGACTAAAGGTGTTCCCCACCCTACCCTGCCCAACACTCATTTTAATTTTCAGACAGAGATGGCCAAGTTGCTTAGGCTGGTCTTGAACTCACTCTGCAGACCAGGCTAGATGTGGGTGCTGGGACTCAAACTGAGATCCTCTGCAAGAGCAGTTTGTGCTCTTAGCCATGGAGTCATCTCTCCAGCCCATCTCTCTCAGAGCCTCTCAGCCTTTGTGCTTCAAGTCAAATATTAAAATAGCTTGAGCCATCAAGATGGCTCAGTGGTTAGGGCCCTCGACGGCAAGCCTGAGGCCCCTACTTTCACCCCGGAATCCACCGGGTAGAACCTGTTTCTACACACTGACCCGTGACTGTTATGCACACGCCATCGTGAACCCTACATAATAAATGTAAAAACAAAAATCTGACTCTGCTTTATGTTGGCTAGCCCTGAGGTTCTCCCGGGCAATTAATTCAGCCTGGCCTCAGTTGAGTGACTAAAAGATTGGGGGAACTCCTCAAACTCCTGTGTGTTCCCCGGGTGGAGTTACTTACGCCATTTTCTCTGTACCCCTCGACAGCTTTCTAGCTAAATGCCAGCCTGAGTCTCTTTTCTTGTCTCCAACTAAGAGTATGAAACCCCTCTCCAGGTGGCACTGGCCTCTTGTGGATTTCATCATTGGCTTAATTAATTAATTAAAATTTGAGACTGAGTAGGCCTAGCTGTCCTAGAACTTTCTACGTAGACTAGGTTATCCCTGCCTCACAGAGATCGGCCTGCCTCTGCCTCCAGAATGCAAAGGCCTGATTGGCCTCGTATTTATCATGTATACCGCGTTCTGCCTGCACCTATGCCTGCACGCCAGAAGAGGGCGCCAGACTTCATTGTAGGAACCGCTGGAGGAGCAGTCAGCGCTCTTAACCTCTGAGCCATCCCTCCAGCCCCCTGTTTATCTCACTGAATCCACAGCTTTCCTGGCCTCATCCACCCCTGACTTTGGGCTGCCAAGCTCTTTTCCAGTGTTCTCAGACAGGGGCACGGTCAGCACACTGGGCTCAGGGTGAAGGCAAGAGTGTGGGACAGGGCCACCCTGACTGAGCTAGGCTTAATGTGCCCACTTCCGGGTAATCTGTCGACCCGTGCGCGACAGCAAAAGATAATTTCAAAGTGGGTATGGTGGCATAGACCTGCAGTTACAGCACTTGGGAAGGGTGAGGCAGGAGGATCAGGAGTTCGAGGCCAGCCTGGGACACATGAGATCTTGTCTTAAAAAAATATAAAATAAAAAAATTATATCACGCCAGACCTGCTGCTACTTGCCTGTAATCTCAGCTGCTGGGGAGGTTCTGGCAGGAGGATGGTAAATCCAAGGGCAGCCTGGGCAGAGGCATCCTTTGGGCCCAGACAGACACACACACACACACACACACACACACAGATCTTGCTATGTATCGCAGGCTGACCACAACCCCTCCCATCTCACTTCCCCAAGGTGTTGGATTACAGTGTAAATACGACTCCACATTTAATTAAGATTTATTTTGATTTTTGTAGTTACAAAGGGTTGACTCTAGGACACAGGTTAGGCCCACGCTTTTTTTTTTCTTTCAGTTTTTGGAGGGTGTCTCACGGTGTATCCTTGGCTGACCTGGAACTTGCTATGTAGATCAGGCTGGCCCCAAATGCATAAACATGCATCTTCCCAGCCTCCCTAGTGCTGGAATTAAAGGTATGCACCAACACACCCAGCTTGGCCTTCAGCACCTCACCCCACACCACCTTTTATTTTGACACAGTCTCTTTCTTATGTGGCCCTGGCTGTCCTGGAACTCTCTTTGTAGACCAGGCTGACCTTGAATTTAAGGATCCACCTGTCTCTGCCTCTTGAGTACTGGGATTAAGGGGAACTGTCTTCTTTAGTTTACTTTTAATTTTATTTTGAGTCAGGGTTTTAATAATTTACCCAGGGCCCGGTGGTGGTGGTGCACACCTTTAATCCCAGCAGCACTCAGAAGGCAGAGGCAGGAGGATCTCTGTTAATCTGAAACCAGCCTGGTCTACAAGAACTAGTTCCAGGACAGCCTCCAAAGCCACAGAGAAACCCTGTCTGGAATTTTTTTTTTTTTCTTAAACCCAGGATGGTCTTGAATTTGAGATCTTACTGTTTCAGCCTCCCAAGGGCTGAGATTACAGGTATAGGCCACCATGACGGGAGAAATGTGTCCTTCCTTCATCCCTCCCTCCCTTCCCTCCTTCCTTTAAACAGATACAAATAAAATATTACAAATAAAATACAAGGCCCAGACAAAGGAAAGACAGGATGGAGTTGGTCAAATCTACCTCCCGCCATCACTGAGGGGGCTAAGCGTGCTCAGCGGGTCATACTTGCTCTTGAGCAGTCCCCATGTCTGAACATTGGCATCCTGAGTGGTGATGGCTGAGGGCCTGTGTCCCCAGTGAGCGGTGAATGTCCTGAAAGACAGGTACTTAGTTTAAGTGCTTCTTGTTCAGGCTGAGCGCCAAGCTGCTGGCATTCAGCAAGGGAGGAGTCTGATGATCCAAGGCCTGCACGTCACCTACGCTTCCTAGAGTTAGGTGGATGTCGTGGACATTTCCAGAAAGACATCGCCAGGAGAAAAGTCTGCCTTGGGTTCTGGCTTTGCCATGTGTGACACATTAGATCACGGATTCATTGTCTGACAATGCGGATGAATGTGTCCCATCCATGGGGGTGGGGGTGGGGGTGAGGGACGGGGCAGCCTCTGGGTTTTTTTTTCAAATGTTGTTATTATTTATTTGTTTATTGTTTATGGTGTCTGTTGGCACACGTGCTATGCTGTGCATGGCAGGTCAGAGGGTAACTTGTAAGATGTGTAGGATCTTTCTACCACACGGATCCTGGGGATGAAAGTAAGGCACTTAGACTCGGCTGCAAATGCCTTTAACCCTCTGATCCGTCTTACAGACCCAAGAACACTGATTTGAAATCCGGAGGTGAGATGTGACACATTTGGGGAACAAACAGATGGCCCAGGTCCTCCAACCTCAGGACCCATTTCCTTGTGACTTCGAATCACTACCGTGAGGTGGACAGCTACCCAAGAGACAGCTCCAAAGGATTCCCTGACCTAGAGCCACCTGAGGGACCTGCAGGAACTGGCCACCCCGGAGTTCCCACCTGTGTCCCACGTGTCTCCAAAGAGAGCCACTCCTTAAGGCAGGCGTGAACCTAGAGGGAAGCAGGGTGGGGACCTGCACTGCTAGGGACCATCATGCGTCCCAGGCAGACGCAGTGCCATTAGCGTCCTCCCGGTGGCGCCAGAGTGTAGACCCGCCCCGTGACTCCAGGCCAGAGTCCTGCGGGGCGTGGCGAGGGGCAGGCCCTGGCGTCCCTGGGTGTCGGAGCGCGGCGACAGAGTCACTGTCGCGGGACACGCGAACGGATCGACGCGCAGACGGGCAGCGGGAGCCGGGTCCATGACGGAGCGCGCGGGTCGCCGCTGCTGCCTGGGCTGGGACTTCAGCACGCAGCAGGTACGTGCGGGCTGGGTGCGCGAAGCGCGAGCCTGGCGATGCCCCGCCAGCCGCGCGCGTTCTCCCGGAAACCGCGGGTGCCTCCCCGCGGAACCCCGTGAACATGCATGGGGCTCGGGAGAGACTCGAGGGGTCCACGCCGAGTCAGGGGTGCGGATGGCGGGGACCAAGGACACCCAGCGAAAACAGCAGAGCCAACAGGCTGGCAGAGGCGTGCGCGCGCGCATGCATAACCTAGATTCGGATGAAGCCACGCACCTTTGCTTTATTTTTATAATTATTTTGTTTTTTATTTCGAGTCAAGGCCTCACTATGTAGTTCTGGATGCGTCTGGACTCACTGTGTAGACCAGGCTGGCCTTGAACTCACTTTAAAGGAGTGTGCCACAACCGCGGCAGGATTAGTGAAATGGCATAGCCGCCAAACGGACTTTGCCTGCCCCCCCCCCCGCCCGCCCCCTGCCCTGGTGGCCTCTTTTGGTTGGCAGCAGCATGCTGGGGGCTGTGATCTCAGCACTACTTTAAAGGTTGGTGTTCCCAGCAGATAGCTGAGTAGAGTTAAAACTTGGCTTCCAAGTAGGAAGCCAGGGTGCGGGTGGGGAGTTCGACCTGCATTCTTGGGGAATAAGTGCGGTGTCTGTGAAACCCCTCGCCTCAGGTGGGTGAAGAGAGGCAGAACTTTCGGGGGCCTTGGGGGGGGTATCCCACAGGACTCGGAGTCTCCTTGCCGCATTAGGCGGGTTTCCCCATCTCCCCTGAGCTTGGAATGCCTTCATTAGGATGGCTTGACCCTGGTCCTGGCTCTGGGGACGATCCCTGGAGATACGCCTCCTTGCCAGGTGTAGGACCCTGATCTCCAGTTTGGGGGACAGGTTCTTGTAGACAGAGGGAGTTTTAGCTGGCTTTTTCCATTCTTTAATTTTTCTCTTTCTTTTTAACTAAATCTCTGACCGTGTGCGCCATGAAGTTTGTGTTGCTATGGTTACAGTGCTGCTGAACCTGGACTGACATTAGAAGCCCCCTGGGCCATAAGTAGAGGCTCAGAAAACCCTAGACGTCCTTTTTCATACATGTCTTACAGGTTAAAATTGTTGCTGTTGATGCAGAATTAAATGTCTTCTATGAGGACAGTGTGCATTTTGACCGAGACCTTCCTGAATTTGGGTATGTACCTGGTGTGCATGCGTGGATGGGTGGGTGGGTGGTTTGAGACCTTCCCTAAACCATTTCCACCCATCAGCTCTACTGTTCTGACTTAACCCAGATGCTGGAGAGGTCATCTGCGTAGAAATTGATCACTTATTATTATTATTATTATTATTATTATTATTATTATTATTATTATTATATGTGTATGGGTATTTGCTTACATGTATGTCTGGAGCCCACAGAGGCCAGACGACAACATCAGATCCCCTGTAACTGGACTTACAGGTGGTTGTGAGCCACCATAGGGTGCTGGGAATAAAACCGAGGTCCCTAAACCCCTGAGCTATCTCGACCGTCCCTGAGAATCTTTTCTTCCCATACAGGGAGTGATTCCTCCCCTATTCTTTCCCAATTCAAGTCATTCATTCACTCATACATTTGAGATCTGCTTTCACTAGTCACTGTGCTGGGCGCTAAAATTCGATGGTTGTACTTGGCTAACTTCTGTTGCTAACCAAAGAGTACCACAGACTGGTGAAGTGGTAAAGACAAATGTTCCCAAAGCCCGGCGGTGGCAGCACACGCATTTAATCCCAGCGCTCAGAGGCAGAAGCGGGCAGATCTCTGTGAGTTCAAGGACAGCCAGGGCTACACAGAGAAACCCTATTTAAAAAAAATAAAATAAAATAAAAAACAAAACAACTTCGCATCTGCTCATGCTTCTGGCCAGAGTCCAGCGGCCGCGTCTACTGTCGGCCCTCTTCTTGGAGAACTTTTGGCACATGGCAACAGAGGAAAAATATGTGTGTGCACAGGTGTGTTCCACCTGAGTTTGTCTTCTCTGCCTCCTCTCCCCGTTTCGAAACAGGGTCTCGTGTACCTCACTGTGTAACTGAAGATAACCTTAAACCCTCCTGCCTTCCTTCCCAGAGGCTGAGGCTACAGCCGCCGCATCTGGGTTTGTTGCTGTGGAGACAAAGGCTCCCTTTGCGGCCTAGGCTGGTCCCACGTCACAGTTCTCCCGCCTCAGTCTCCTGAGAGCGGGGATTACAGGAGTGTGCCCCCACACTTGGCTTTTCCTTAAAAAAAAAAAAAGCTTGCTTTCCTTTTTGTCCTGGGGATCAAACACAGAGGGCTTTGTACACATGAGCCCGTGCTGCAGCATGGCTACACCCTCTGTCTCTCTTAGATGAAGTTACCTGTTCATCTGGGTGTGGTGGTGGCACACTCTTATAATCTCAGCAATCAGAACTGAGTTCCAGGCCAGCTTGAGGCCCAACCCTGTCTTCTAGCAAGGTTTGCTCTTCTGAGAAATGCTTCCCCGGGACTGGAGAGATTGCTCAGCAGTTAAGAGCACTGACTGCTCCTCCAGAGGACCCGGGTTCAATTCCCAGCACTTACATAGTGACCCACAACTATCTTTAACTCCAGGTCTAGGGGATCTTATAGCCTGTTCTAACCTCTCAGTGCACCAGGCACACATGTAGTTCACAGACATACATGTAGAAAAAGAATGCATATAAATAAATACCGTGAAAACTGAAAAATGAGCTGTCCTGTTTTATATGAAAGAAAGATCCCGTGGTTTACACCTCTCCCTGGTCAGTACAGAATTTCTGCTTGGCACTCAGGGGACATTGTCCTCTAACTGGAGGTCTCTTACTACCATGGGGCAGCTTCTCACAGTTCAGCCTGCCCTGGGCTTCATCCCACATACCTATTCTCCCTGCAGAACTCAGGGCGGTGTCCATGTACACAAGGACAGGCTGACGGTCACCTCTCCAGTCCTGATGTGGGTCCAGGTAAGCAGAGGAAGGCTCCCTTCCTTCTCCTGTATCCAGCCTGGGTCACTGGTGTCCCCAAGGTGGCAACTCATGGGGGCATCCATTGATACCGTTTAACCCTCTAACAGGGGTCCCTGGGGGAGGCCAGCCTTAGCTGGTGCCTGTACTTGTCTGTTAAGACTCATAAGGGACTTCTAGGTATGACAGCCACAAAAGTTGGCAAATCCTACCTTTGAAGATTTATTTATTGTTCATGGTTTTAAAGGCAGGACCTCATAGCCCAAGGTGGTCTCAAACTCACTATGTGGCCAAGGATGACCTTGAACTTCTGAGCCTTCTGACTTTAGCACTGAGTGTTGGGGTTATGGGTGTGTAGGGTCATGCCCAGCATAGTCTCGGAGCTTCTACTGAGCTGTATCCCCAGCCTATGCCTCCTGGAAGCCGAAGCCTGCACTGCATGTGTCTGCCAAAAGCTGCTCTGCACCCTCCGGTGCCCGTTTAACCACATCCCCCGAATAATAAACTGGTGTGTCGGACAGTGCAAAGTGGAGTGAAGGATGGATTCTACCCAGACAGGCTGGCTGAGAGGGCATTTCCGAAGACTTTGCTAGAATACAGGTGGGAGAGGGAGGCCTCAGGCGTTACTGTGTCAGGGGAGTCGGGAGGAGAGACAGCCAAGGTGGCCACTGAACTGTGGTAGCCTCTGGAACTGGACTTATTTTGGACTTGGCCAGTCCCTGCCTTCCTGTCCGAGGTGAGGGGCAGCGTTGTCAGGGTTAGACAAAAGTCGGACTGATTTTTTTTTTTTTGCTCTTAGAAGATACAGGCTGGGATGAGTTTCATATTCCTGCCATGAAATGTTCATATGTCTGTCTGTGTCACCTTCTATGAAATATATACATATTGAGGCAGGTTCTCGTGTATTCCAGATTGGCCTCAAATACAGCGTAGCCGAGGGTGACCTTGAACTTCTGATCCCCCTGCCTCTTATCTACTTACTGAGCACTTAGATAACCATGCTTGGTTTTATGTGCTTTGGGGATGGAACCCAGGGCTTCATGTATGACAGGCAAGCACTCTACCACTTAAGTGCGTCCCAGGCCATCTGTCCATGAGGTCCTAGGCAGTAATGTCACACTGTCCTGGACACCACCATGTGTCCCACCCACTCCTCGAAGAAGATTCCGGGCTCTTGACAGCACAACCTCTGGCTCTGCTCCTTTCCCCTGTGCTCGTGCTCTGTGTGCAGAGTGTGGACCTGGCACCCTCTAATGGCAACATCTGCCTGGCTTGACCTTCTCTGTTGTACCCGGGTCGTTCAGGCCGTTGGTGAAGTAGACAGACAAGTAAAAGAAAACACAAATTTGAGCTGTTGAGTGCTGGGAGGATGCCAAGTAGAGGCGGAAATCCTGAGGATTAGTGGTGTATGATTTCATTTTTTAAAAAAAAAAAAAAAAAAACATTTGTTTTGCCAGAGTAGGCATGGTACACACCTGTAACTTCAGGGGTGGAGGCAGGAAGATCAGGAGTTCAAGATCACCCTGAGCTAATAGTGGGGGCATAACAGGGAGGTGCACATAGACCTCCAGAGAAACCAGGGATGCTAAGCACAGTGAACCGTCTTTCCCATGGGGGAGATTTGAAACCTGTCCTTCCCCTCAGAACGCTAAGAAGTAGGAATGATTGGTGGTATCTGTTGGGCCAGGAAGTGGCTAGTCGTCGATGACCTCAATTAAGCCAGCACAGGTAGCCTATCTCCAGAACCCATCTTCTTGGAAGAAATGACATGTACCCTGAGTTGAGTCTCAGTAATTATGCTTCCTGTGCACCAGGGATTGTATTACACCAGGAAACTTCTCCCCCCCCCCCCCAAATTATACTATGCTTAAATGCATTGGGAATACACTGCCTGTTACTAGACTTCCGGAAGTCTGGTCCAGGTTGATAAAATCAGTCTGCACTGGTTTTCTCTTTTTGGCTTTTCTCGACAGGGTTTCTCTGTGGCTCTGGCTGTTACTCTGTAGATCAGGCTGGCCTGGGACTCAGGGATCCGCCTGCCTCTGCCTCCCAAGTGCAGGGATTAAAGGTGTGTGCCATCACCACCTGGCTATGGTTTTCATTATCCCTTTGAGTGGTTTGCTTCTCTGCCTGGATACCTGCACTGCTTGGCCACATAGTGAGTTGGGGACAGCCTAGGCTGCATGAGACCCTCTTTCAAAAAAGCACAGAAACGGGCTGGAGAAACAACTCAGTGGTTAGAGTGCTTGCTACTCTTCAAGAGGACCATGTCAGATTGCTCAGTCATCTAATTCTAGCCTTAGGGGATCTGATGACCTCTTTTGGCTCCTCAGGCACCTGCATACCTGGGACTCACTCACGTGGACACCTATACATACACACCAATACGAACAAATGCATGTTGCTTTTTAAGTTTGTTTTGTTTTGCTGGATTTTCAAGACAGGAATTCTCTGTGTAACAACCCTGGCTGTCCTGGAGCTTTGTGTAGACCGGGCTGGCCTCAAACTCACAGAGACCCACCTCTTCCTGAGTGCTGGGATTACAGGTGTGAGCCACCACATCTGGGGAAGATAAATGTTTAAAACAGACAAACAAACAAAATATGTGTTTAACCAAGTTGACCCTTTTATTTGACTGATGCCAGCTTGTTTCACTGTCCTGACACAGATCCTATAGTGACAACCCTCCTCTCCACAGAGCCCTTGGCATTTCTATGCTGAGGTTTGTGGCTTAGACGCTGGTTCTGCTGAGTCATGGTGGATTCTGCTGAGTCATCCTGAATTCTGTTCTTCTCAGGCTCTGGACCTGATCCTGGAGAAGATGAAGGCTTCCGGCTTTGACTTCTCTCAAGTTCTTGCCTTATCTGGGGCAGGCCAGGTTTGTCAACAGCAGCCCCGTCTACCCTGGGAACTTGACTATTTCAACAGTGGATGGGTGCTGACTTCCTGTAGAGTGTGCATTTCTTTCTTTCCCTCCCTCCCTTCCTCCCTCCCTTCCTTCCTTCCTTCCTTCCTTCCTTCCTTCCTTCCTTCCTCCCTCGTTCCCTCCACCCATCCCTCCCTCCCTTGCTCCCTCTCTCTCTCTTTCTTTTTCTTTTTCTTTTAGATTTTCCAGACAGGGTTTCTGTGTGTAGCGCTGACTGTCCTGGAGCTCGCTCTGTAGACCAGGCTGGCCTGGAATGTGAGTAAGCATGCATTTGGTAGAGGCAGTACCTTCAGCTCTTTCTCCTTAGGCGCTGGATGGCTGGTCTCCTTAAACGTATCGGAGCTGCTTCTATGATAAAGCAGTCTATAAATAGGACATTCAGCTGGGCTTGGTGGTGTAGGCCTGTAATCCCAGCTAATTCTAAGGCTGAGGCAAGAGGATTGCAAGTTCAAGGCCTGCCTGGGCTACAGGGTGAGTTTGAAGCTAGCCTGGGCAAGTTAATTAGACCCTGTCTCAAAATAAATTTAACTGAGGGCTATGGATAAAATTCAGTGGTAGAGCCCTTTCCTACCACGTGTGAGGCCCAACGTTCACTCTTCAGTACTTAAACAATAGAAAAGTAGGACAGTTGACAGGGGAACTGTGTCTAGGTCCCATGAAGAGGTGGAGGGAACATTAGATGTGGGTTTATTATGGCTGTTTGGTGGCACTAAAATTTTTTCCTAGTTTTTGGAAGGAAAAACAGTAAGAAGTGATACTAACAGTGAGAGCAGTTCCATGTGTTTACTTGTGTGTGTGTGTGTGTGAGAGTGCATGTGTAAGTGAGTGTGTGGTGTGTACACAAGTGTGTGTGAGTGTTTGTGGTGTGTGTTTGTGTGGTGTGAGTGCGTGTGTGAGTGGAGTGTTTGGTGTGTGTGTTTCTGGTGTATGTACAAGTGTGTGTGTGTGTAAGTGAGTGTGTTTGTGGTGTGTGTGGTGTGTGTACAAGTATGTGTGAGTGCATGTGTAAGTGAGTGTTTGTGGTATGTGTGTGAGTGTGTTTGTGGTGTGTGCAAGTGTGTGTGTGCGTTTGTGGTGTGAGTGTTTGTGTGGTGTGTGTGAGTGCGTGCGTGGTATGAGTGTGTGTATGTGTGTTTGTGTGGTGTGAGTGTGTATGAGTGTGTGTGTGTAAGTTTGTTCGCATAAAGGCAGGTGCCCTAGGAGGCCAGAAGATGATGTGGGTTCCCCCGAGCTCAGGCAATTGTGAGCCCCCATGTTGAGAACCAAACTTGGGTGCTTTGCCAAAGCAGGAAGCCCCCCCTGAACTGCTGAGGCATCTCTTCAGCCCTGAGGGTATTTTCAGGACAGAGTGTGTTCCAGGCACTGTGCTGAGGTCCCGACTTTTCTAGTCCCATTGGAGACTCTGAGCAGGTGGTGCCACCGCCTACCAGAAGGGATGCTCTGGGCTTGCCCAGTGCTACCACATAGAAGCCTGACCCAAGTCACACCACACCATATCCTTATCTCAATAGGGTCACTGTGACTGTTAGATACATAGGACAGTGCCTGGAACATAATACACTCCCTTAAAGTTTATCTACTCTTTAAAAAACAAAAAGCTAGTGCATTGTATAATTGTGACAGTATGCCGGGGCAAGTGTGCGGAGGTCTCAGGACAGCTCCTGGGAGTTGGTTCTGTTCTTCTACCCTGGGGACACTAGGGATCAAACTGTGACACCAGGCGTGGCAGCAGGCACCCCGCTGCCTCTCCAGCCTTTCTTTCCTCTCAGCCCGGAGCTCCGTTCCGGCACTGTTCCCGATCTGTGTACACTCCGACTGCTTTCTCTATACTTTCATCACTGCGGCTCCGCGGCTTGTGTGTGTGAGGGTGCAGATACATATGTCTGCACATACGGCTAGTCAGACACACCAGCTGATTGGCTGGTCAGTGAGCCCCAGGAGTCTGCCTGGCCCCGTCCCCCAGGGCTGGACCATAAGCATACACAGCCATGCCCAGATTATTGTTATTTCCTTTGAAACATCTATTTTTATTTTCTAAGTGTTGGTGTTTTGCCTGCGTGTGTGCCTATGTGAGGTGAGGGTGTCTGATCTTGGAGTCATAGACAGTTGTGAGCTGCCGTGTGGGTGCTGGGAACTGAACCCAGGTCCTCTGGAAAAGCAGTCAGTGCTGTTAATCACGGAGCCATCTTTCCAGCCCTATAGTTATTTTTCTTAAAAATCATTTTATTATTTTATATGTATGGGTATCTTGTCTACATGTATGTTAAATGGTTTTGAGCCTCTGTGTGCATTCTGGGAATTGAATCCCAGCCTTCTGGAAGATCAGCCAGATCTCTTAGCCACTGAGCCATCTTTCCAGACCTCTAGATTTTTTTGTTTGGTTGTTTTGTTTTTTCAAGACAGGGTTTCTCTGTGGCTTTGGAGCATGTTCTGGAACTAGCTCTTGTAGACCAGGCTGGCCTGGGACTCACAAGAGATCCGCCTGCCTCTGCCTCCCGAATGCTGGAATTAAAGGCCGGCCAGATTTTTTTTTTTTTTTTTTGAAGTTTATTATTTACTTTCTATGTGTGAGTGTTCTGTCTACATGTACGTCCTGGATGTCAGAGTAAGTAATGACCTGTTCACTCGTGTCTGGCATGATCTTGCTACCCGGTATGTTTGTTACGAGAATACATGGTATGAGCCAACTTCAGGCACTACTGTAAGTGATATTTGATGAAAGGTATCACAATACAGACTAATGAATGATTCTAGAACCCTTCCTGCTAGTTTTGAGGTGATGGGAAGGACCTTCTCATTTTATGAAAGCGAACGCTATGCATCATAGAGGCACCGAGCTGTGTGGTAAAGAGGTGGTAGAGATAATCTTGGGACTTGGCTTGTGATGTGGCTCTGTGTCTGCAGGAGGTTGTAACTTCAGGCATGTTACATGAGCATGTGCTTTCGTTCCCCTCAACAGCAGCATGGAAGCGTTTACTGGAAGACTGGAGCCAGCCTGGTGCTGTCAAGCTTGTCGCCAACTCTCCCATTACATCAGCAGCTGCAGGTGAATGAAGATGCTTGTGACTCTAATCAACCGCTGCAAAGCCTGTGTCCAGGGAACCCACATTGTCCTGAGTGTGAGAAGTTGGCACTAGGTCTGCCCCAGCTCAGGCTGGTCTCCTTGCGGTTGCCCAGGGGTGCAGATGACCCCTCATTAATGAGTCCCTTCCTTCGTAGAACAGCTGTGGGCCCCTTGGTGATGCTGCGAGGTGGGGTCCCTAGTTCCTTTTTCCTCCCGTTTCCAAAGCGTCAGCTAAACGTCTCTTTGGTATTGCTCTTAACTGTCTCCTGCAGCCTGACTCACCCAGGGGTCTTTGTTTTTGGAGACAGGGTTTCTCTGTGTGGTTCTGGCTGTCCTGGAACTCACGGAGATCTGCTTATCTCTGCTTCCCGAGTGCTGGGACTAAAGGTGTGCGCCACTGCCACCTGACTTAACCCAGGTGTCTTCAACAGAGCTCATCTGGCCTCAGGCTTTCTGGAGAGACCTCACTGGCCCCACACAGGGCTTGTCCACTGGGTCTTCCTGCTATGATGGGCAGTGTGAATACCAGCCGCAGGGTTGTCTGTGGTGGTAGAAGAGAAGCCGAGCCTCTGTTGTTCTTTCTAGGCCTGCTTCTCCGTCAGGGACTGCCCGATATGGATGGACTCCAGCACCACAGCCCAGTGCCGCCAGCTGGAGGCTGCCGTGGGCGGGGCCCGGGCTCTTAGCTGCCTCACAGGGTCCCGGGCCTATGAGGTAGGTAACACCCACGCCAGGATGGGGAGTAAGGCTCTGGGAGGACGTAGTGGCCACCCAGCCTCTGGGGGGGGGGGCAGGGATCATGAGAACCAATGCTAGTGTGCGTCCCTGAAGCCGGGTTGGAACATGCCGGCCCTGGGTTCTGATCCAGGCTATCCCATCTCATTTAGCAGGCAACGGCAAGGTCCTTGCATGTTGTCCCAGATCAGGGCTGGGGTATGAGCATGGCCGCATCCCTCACTGAAGCTACTGTGGTCGGGGAAGGGGTGTCCTGTCCCAGACTCATGGTCTGTAACCGTGGGGCAGAATCTATTTGAGGTAGTCCAGGAGACCTAACTCTAGGGGCCCCAAGGGCTTTGGCTACTGTCCCAGAGTTTGTTGTGATTGGCTATCCTGGGTCAAGTTACTGTGGCTTAAGTAGGGGATGGAGGTCTGGAGATAGCTCGGTTTCCAGGACATCAGGTGACTAGCACCTGCATGTAACCCCAGCTCAGGGAATTGAACACCTACTTCTGGCCTCCTTGGGCCTGCATGGACACATACACACTTTATTTATGTGAGGAAGGCACACATATACCTCCCTCATAAATAATGTAAGAACAAAGGCAAAATGTTTTTAGACCCAGTTAGAACATTAGGAATATAGTCTCCACAAGGAGAAGTCCTGAGCCCCTGCTTCTGGTATCATGGGGCTGGGAAAGGCTTTCTGTGGTTAACAGCACTGGCTGCTCTAAACAGAGGACATGGGTTCAGTTCCCAACTCCTACACGACAGCTTGTAACTACCTGTAGCTCCAGCTCCAGGGTGATCTGACGCCCTCCTTTGATCTCTGTGGGTTCCTGCACACATGTGACACACAGACACATATTCAGGCACAGGCCCGTACACATTAACTACATAAATAGATATATTTTAAGGACGACTATAATAAGGGCAAGTCACAGAGCTGATTGACCCTCCCTGGAAGCCGAGGTCACTGCCTTGTCTGTGGGTGCAGAGGGATTGCTGACTGCCTAAGAGCTCCTTACCAAGAACATTTGCAGGACTCAAAGGCCAAAATACACCATCTTCCGTGTTCAGCTGGTAACAAATGTTTCTAGATTGGGGAGTTTTTCAAAGCTATTGCTATTCTACAGCATATCCAGGCCATGCTATGCTAACCTCACTTTAAGGTTATTCTGTGTAGGGTCTGAGTGTCTAAGAATCTGTGTTCTTTTTCTCCCCAGCGATTTACTGGGAACCAGATAGCAAAGCTTTTCCAGCAGAACCCGGAGGCCTACTCAAACTCTGAGGTTGGTGAGACTTCGAGATCTGTCAAATCCTTTGTGTCACACTCACCTCAACATAAACACACCTTGTATGCATTGGCTAAAGCCTTTGCTGATTGAGTGCTAAAAACGATTCAGAGAGGGGTGTTGATATGGCTCGGAGGGTTCAGGGGCTTGCCTCCAAGCCGGACCACCTGAGTTAGATCCTCATGACCCACAAGTCCTTAAGAGTTATAAACATTTATTCTTTCTACTTTGCTTCTTTTTGAGCCTGGGTCTCATGGGGCCCAGGTTGTTCTCAAAGTCCCTATGAAGCAGAGGATGACCTTGAACCCCTGAAGCTCCCTCCTCCACCTCCTGAGTGCTAGAATTACAGGCATGTTCCACCACGTCAGGTGTCTTGTGCTTTGCTTTGACTATGGCTTCGGAGACAGGGTTTTGCTATGTACTGAGTCTCGCTCTGAACTCACCACAAAGACCGGGTTGGCTTCAAACCCCTGCCTCTGCCTCAGGCACTAAGATGGCAGGGCTCTGCCTCTGTACCTGGCTGCCATTATTATTACTTGGTGGTTCCAGGTTTCAGCCTACTGGGCAGCATTAGCAACTGAGGAGTGAAAACCCTCCTTGAAGTGTATGTGTGGAATCAAGGCGTTAGGTCCCCGCAGGGACTAGAGGTGGTAACTCTCTTCTCACCAGTGATTCTCTTGGGGACATGACTGGGTGTTGTACCTCCTGCGGGGAGAGGGGGGGTCGGTTTCTCCTTAAACTTGTGGTAAGCCTTGAGAGTCTTGTGTTCCGTGGCCACAGCCGCTTCCCTGAACACAAATATAGAGACATAGAATTGGAGTGAGGGGCTGAGGGTGTGTGAATGGGTTCCAGATGGAAACCAGCCGCCCTAAGTGCTGCATGTTCACCAGGCCTTGGCTTTCACAGTCACCAATCGTGACGGTTTTGTGGCCTAAAGCAGAGCCACTCAGAAGAACTCTGGCTGCTTCCGAATGGGTGTTCTGTGTCTTTCACTACCTGCTGAAGTTTCTCCTGTTCCCGTGAATACGTGTGTGAGTGTGTGTGTGTGTGTGTGTGTGTGCGCGTGCGCTCACAGGCAAGCTCGAAGCGTTTGTAGCTTGGGATGTGTGAAAGCGAGTCCTCTCTCACCCTCTCCCTTCTTTTCCAGAGGATTTCCTTGGTCAGTAGCTTTGCTGCCTCGCTGTTCCTGGGTAGGCACGCGCCCATCGACTACAGTGACGGTAAGCATTCAGAACATGTAGAGACAGACACTTGTTCACGTGCGGGGTGGCCATGGGGACCCCAAGCGCCTCATCCAGCCCGGGTGGGTGCCAGTCGGGTAGCTAGCTCATCCTTTCCCGAGAAGGAAGGACTGTTAGTGATGTTCTGTTGTATAACAAGTGTCCCCGTCACTTTATTGGCTTAAGACGACAGATGTTTAAGTTCTCACTTAGTACCTGAGGACCCCTTAGTCTGGAATGTACCAGTAGCTGGCCGGGGTGGTTGGTCCTGGCTCAAGATCACTCACAAGGTAGCAAACGGGCAGCCAGAACCGCAGGCATCTGAAGGCTCCACTGGAGATGGAGATCTACTCCTGAATCTTGCACATGAACTTTGCAGGAGTTTTCCAAAGTCCCTCTGTAAGGTTGCAACAGTCAGAGGAGGGGCCTGCAGGGAGGGAGGGATGGAGGGGGCAGTCAGAGGAGAGGCCTGCATGCAGTAAAGCACTTGATGTGGGCACTGGAAACCAAAGCTGGGTCCTCTACAAGAGTAGTAAAAGCTCTTAATCGCTGAGCCATCTCTCTAGCCTCTGGTTTTAGTTTTTATGAAACAGTTTTTGTTTTTATTTTGCTATGTGTCTCAGGCTAGCCTCAAACTCAATATGTAGCCCAGGCTGGCTTCAAACTGATAGCAATCCTCCTGCCTCTCTGCTTCCTGGGGTGCTTTGATTACAAACGTATGCCACCATGCCCTGTTCCTGTTAGTATCAAAACTGATAAAACAGAAGTGATCTCAGTGGGGAGGAGCATTAGGAGGAGCTGGTGGAAGAGGATTTCAGTCCGTTTTCTTGGATAATAGAGATGCCAGAGGCCAGGCAATAGAGAAAGAATGGACTCTGATGTAGGGGCTGGTGGTACGGTTCAGCTGGTAGAGAGCTTGCCTAGAATGCATGAAGCCATGGGCAATCCCTAGCGCCATGTAAAATTGGGTGTATTGGTGTATGCCTGTTATCAGAAGTTCCAGTCCTGCTCAGCTACATAGTAAGTTTGGGATCAGCCTGGGATATGAGACCCTGCCTTAAGAAGAAAGAGAAAAAAATGATTTTTTTTATTTCAGGCACTTGAACAAGTTTGGCAGCTAGTGAGGCCTTCTTGTATCATGAGGTACCCAGCAAGTGTGCATGCAGCTCAGGCCTCTTGGAGAGATGGCTCAGTGGTTAAGAGCATGCACTGCTTCCCAGCACCCATGTCAAGTGGCTCACAACCGCTGGGACCTCCAGCCTCAGGAGATCCAACAGCTTCTTCTGTGTTCTGTGGGAGATTGCTGTCATGTGCTCATAACCACAGACACATAAGCACAGTATTAAGAATAATACGTCTTGGGAGAGATGGCTCAGTGGTTAAGAGCACTGATTGTTCTTCCAGAGGACCCAGCTTCCATTCCCCCCACCCACATGGCAGCTCACAACTATCTGTAACTCCAGTTCCAGAAACATATGACATTTTTTTCTGGCTTCCATTGGCATTGTGCAAACATGTGTGCACAGACATGCATGCAGGCAAACATCCATACACATAAAATACAAATAAATAAATCTTAAAAAACAAAAAGCAAACAAAACAACAAAGAGACCCAGCCCTACATTTATTTACACTATAGAAGTGACCTTCTTGCTAATTTCACACCAATTTCCACCCAAGCTTCACCCCTCTGATGTTTTTGCTTTTGTTTCCTTCCTTCCTTAGGGTCTGGAATGAATTTGTTGCAGATCCAGGAAAAAGTCTGGTCCCAGGCTTGCCTTGGTGCCTGCGCCCCCAATTTGGAGGAGAAGCTCGGCTCGCCAGTCCCTTCGTGCTCCGTTGTGGTAAGTCATCTCAGCGACTTCTGTGGGTGCTGGCACTGCTGGTGGAGCCTAGGAGTGTGCACACATCCACATGCATGCACACACACACACACACACACACACACACACACACACACGCATTTCCACTGAACGCCTAAACTCAGCTTTTGACAATAGAACATCTGATAATCTGGATGAGGGGCTTGTACATGGCAGAGCTAGATTCCCAACTCTCCGATGGATTTCTGGGTATTTGCACATCTAAGGGTAAAAGTGCACAGGGTGCCGAGATTTTGGGCACTAGCATGGAGGCTAGAAGCAGGCAGGCTCTTGAAAACAGAAACACAAAGGAGCTGGCAGACCATAGGCCTTGGCATCTCATTGACTGAGATTAAACAGTGGCTTTTGCCCAAGGTCTGTTTACGGTTTATTGTTGATTGTGCTTTGTTTTGTTCTGAGGCAGGTAGCCCTAGATGGCCTGGAAGTTGTTATGTAGACCAGGCTGCCTAGAACATGCCGAGATCCACCTGCCTCTGCCAGGCAGTGCTGGGGTCGAAGGCGTGCGCCACCACACCTAGCTTGGGCTGCCTCTGTTTAATCAGGGTTCCAGTTTCCTCATCTGGAGGTAATACTGTCTGTCTTGCCAGGGTCCTGGGCAAGTGGGATGAGATGGAGTGTGTTGACAGGATTTCGGGTGGTGGTTGGACACACTAGTAAGTTAAGGGTGTAATGGATATGAACTGAACACCCAAGTGTGGCCTGGTTGGCCGGCCCTGTTCTTGACTATACTGAGGAGTCATGGGAGAAAAGAGGGTCCATGGTGTCACACATACCACACGTGTGAAGCCAGAACAGTCAGAAAGAACCCCATGTGGGGCAGACAGCCGAATGTGAAGGAGGGAGACAGGGCCACCAGGAAATGGGCTGTTGTGACGCTCGGGCATAGCTGAGGTTTTCCCATAAGATTCTCACTGACACGTTGCCATGGGCAAAATGCCAAACCACTGTTAGCCAAGGTGTGCCGTGAAGCCGGTGTGCAGAGCTGTAGGGAAAGCAGTGGTGTCCAGAGAAGCCTGCGGTGCAAGACACAAGTGCATGCACGCCACAAGCCAGAGAGGCAGAAAAGGCAAACAGGGAACTGACAGCTTCTGGATGAGACAGCATAGAAGGCCTGATGGTGGTGCGGGCCTTATGAGAACTCACCAAGGCATGAACAAAGGGAGTTAATTAAAACTCAGTGTCCAGAGAGGCTCACGCTGCTGAAAGATGAGAGTTCATATACAGCAGGAGGAGTTAATCCATCTTAGCTGCTGTCCCATTGTATGGGGGCCACATCAGGGTGGATACCAAGTTGCCTTGCTGCATAGCAAATGTTACAGCATACATTGTTTTACTTGAGACTAGGGCATTTGTAACATGCCGTGTTCGTGGCCAGCATGGTCTATAGAACTAGTTCCAAGGCAGCCAGGGTTACATGGACAAACCTGTCTCAAAAACAAACAAAGAATTAGGCTTCAAGCATGGAACGGTGGAAGGGTAGAAGCAGGTGGATCTCTGTGAGTTCCAGGCCAGCCAGATCTACATAGCAAGTTCCAGAACAGCCAGAGTCATACAGTGAGACCCTGCCTCAAAAAAACAAATATATATATATATATATATATATATATATATATATATATATATATATGAATGATATCATGGGTCACTAGGGGTCAAGCCCCAAGAAAGTGGAGGTGGCCTGATGTTGAAGTGTGAAAATACGGAAATTCTGCTTTTGCTTTTTTTTTTTTTGTCGTTATGCTGAGCCCCTGGAATGTTATTGCCATCCGTGGCCTTTTGTTTCATGTGAAATGGAGATCATTTCTTTGTCTAAGGCTTTGCTTGTCCTGTGCCAAGAATGCATCCTAAGGGAGGCTTTTCAGAGTCGAGTATTGGAGGAACTGGAAACAACCGGTTCTGACAAATGCATTTTAACTTGCTGACCATGCATCCGATGGTAATGAGAAGCCACTGTGGCTTCTTGACGGTGTCACCCTTGCTGGAACCATGCTTTCTATATTGGGCTTCCCTGACACGTGTCCTGTGAGAGTGTAGGACAGCCGTCATCAAACAGACATGGGAGCCTGTGCGTGAATGACACCTCTTGCTTGTCCCCAGGGAGACAGTCCTCAGGACCATCAATCCCAGCCCATAGAGCTTCCTCCGTGGCTTCAGACTCAGTTGCCTTTGGGGTGCCCAGTGGGGTGGTGGACTCTTGGGCTTCATGTCCTCTGGTTTTCTCTAGTCCCCTAGGTCACTCCATCCAAGTTAACGTGCATGCATGCATGCCCTACCCAAGCCCAGCTTCTGAGGTGACCTAGATCAAGACATTTATTTTCCCAGGGCAGATGGCTTATTCTGATGGAAACCTAAAACATTGCTGGCTAGAACAAAATTTTCTTCCAATATACTGGGGGTGGGGGAGAAACCTTTTAAAAATGTATTTATTGCCAGCACTGGCAGGCGGAGACTGGTCTGGTCTACAGAGTGAGTTTTAGGACAGCCAAGGCTAAAAAAAAAAAAATTTTTTTTTGTTTGTTTTTTGTTTTTGGCTTTTTGAGACAGGTTTTCTCTGTGTAGCTCTGTAGACCAGGCTGTCCTTGAACTCACAGAGATCCTCCTGTTTCTGCCTCCTGAGCACTGGGATTAAAGGCACACGCCACCACTGCCTGGATAAAAAAACAAAAAAGTGTTTCTTTGAGGCAGTCTTATTGTGTAGCTGGCCATCCTCCTGTCTCAGCTTCCTGGGTGTTGGAATTATAGGCATCAACCACCATGCCCTGCCTTTTCTAACTAAATGGCATTTATCTGTTTGGGGAGAGGTGGAGTGGTGACCTCTGCTCTTGTTTTCTGGGGTTCCCTGGCCTGACCTGCCATTTTGGTTCATTTTCTTTAGTTCTATTATTATTGATTTTTGAGACAGGGTCTCTGGGGTCCCAGGCTGGCTCAGAACTTCTGGTTCCACTGCCTCAATCTCCTGCGTGCTAAGATTACATGTATACCGCCACGCTTGGTTTTAATATCTTTAAACATTATGTATTTGGTTGTCTGCTTGTATGTGTGAGCAGCGTGTGCATGCATTACCCGCAGAGTTAAAAGATCCCCTGGAACTGGAGTCGCAGGTGGTTGTGAGGCACCATGTGGGTGCTGGGAACCAAACCCAGTCCTCTGCTGTGATGCTAAGTGCTTTTAACCGCTGAACCATCTCTCCAGCTCCCTCTCCATGCCTGGTTTCACACAGTGCTGGGGGCCAAAACCAGTGTTTTGTGCGTGCTGGTTGAGCATTGTGACAAATGAGCCACACCCCTAATCTACGCCCTTTTACTTGAGAGTCTCCTGTGGCCCCGGTTGGCCTTGAGCTTGCTGTCTGCTTCAGGCTTGCCTTGAACTTGCTTTTTAGCCCAGGCTGACCCTGAGGTTAGTTTTCTTTCATTAGAACATTCTTCTACGCACTTGCCTATCTCATTGTTCTTGGTCTGGTTGCTGGCATGGTACACCAACAAGTAAGGCATTTGCTGTGTCATCATCAGTGAGCTTGCTTACCAAGGTCCTGTTACTTTTCTTTTCTTCGGTATTGTATCCAGAATTTGGTGTTCACAAAGCAGGCAGAAGTTAGAGCTTGCTATGTTCTAACTACGCTCAAATCTTAGACTCATATGATCCTGGAGGCGAGTGCAGGCCTGTGCTTCCAAACCTGTACTGGGCTCCTTCTGTGTGTGGCTAGGAAGGATGGTGGAGCTCAGGGATGGATTGCAGACGCCTGCAGCGGCCCCATGGCCTGAGGTGTGGAAGATTCTTCAGCTCCAGTTGCCTGGAGCCAAGACTCTCCTGGGTTGTGGTGTGCATGGCTGTGCTGGGCAGACGGTGGTCATGTCAGCAGAACACAGGAGTTCTTTCTCCATAGGGAGCCATCTCTGACTACTATGTCCAGCGCTATGGATTCCCTCCCACATGCAAAGTGGTGGCCTTCACTGGGGACAACCCAGGTAAGTTGCATTCCAAGTGTCTATGGGTTGCCCGCCTTCCTTTTCCATAACTGAGATGGGGTCTCCCTCTGAAGGCCCGGATCTTATTATGTAGCCCAGGCTACCCTTAGATGCCCATCAGTCCTCTCTCCCTGGGTATGGGAAATCCAGATGTGAGCCAGCACACCTGGGTCTTACTGAACTCTCTTTATGTGCATGCGTAGACCAGAAGACAACCTCAGCTGTCTGCACTGCTAACCTTTCTCACTAACCTGGAACTCCCAGGGAGTCTAGGCTGTTGTAGAACCTCGGGGATCTATTAGGTGCCCACCTCCCCAGGCCTGGGTCCCCAGCATTGGGGCTGTGAGTGCATGCCACCACCCTGCTGCAGGAAGCCCTTCTGTGCTGTTCTCTCCCATCTGAAATCTGGCTCTGGCTCCACCCCAGCCTGGCCCTGACGCTCAAAGGCGGCTCTCAGGTCTGTGCTGTTCAGTGAAAGGTTGGTGGATGTAAGAGAGGTGATTCTCTCTCTCCCCTACCTCCTCCCTGTTCCAGCTACCATCCCTTCCTTCAGGACACGGTTTTGAGGTCGTTAGGTATGCTTCTTGTAGCAACCCCTCCTTGCCTCTTCTCCTTCAGGGACTCTCTAGGCCTCTGGTCTCTGATGACCAGACGGGCCACACTGAGGAGGATGCTGTGTGCTTGCTGCGCTCCAGCTCCACAGGGAAAGCCACCCTTCCCCAGCCCTTCGAGGGTGGTTAAAACTGCAGGGGTCTCCTTGTGGACGTCCTTCCGTGCTCATGTGTGCCTTCATCCTTGTTGGTCAAGTCGCTGTGCTGGTGTCCAGGCTGCAGCTGGCCTGTCCTTCCTGTGGAGGAGCTCTGTATTGCTGTCCTGCACTCAGCCTCGGAGCACAGCCCTGCAGCTGAGCTCAAGGGAGTCTCTCCCTGTCCTGTTTCTCCCTCACTCAGACCATTCACTCAACATTTAATGAGCGCCAGCTCTGATGCCGCGTCTTATTCAGAGCTGGGGTACATCAGCAAAGAGGGCAGAGAAGGATTTCTGCTGGGGACCCTGTGTCTGGGGGTGTGGGAGCAATCCCCGTGACCTCAGCGCTTCCTTTGTCCTGGTTGAGGAAACGCATCTTCCCGTCATGACTGCCTGGTCTCCTTGGAGAACCTGGCAGTGGTGGGGACAGACTTTTCAGCCCAAATCGGTGGCCTTGGCTGGAGCAGCCAACCCTTTGGCTCCTCCCACCATTTGGTCTCCTTGAACTTTCATCCTGCTGACCTGTGGGTTAAGGTAGAAGGTGGTGTCTGTCTGTGCTGCTGTCCGGGTGGGTGGTTACCCGTAGTTTGCTTTTTGGATCATGTGACTCCCGCTAACCTGAGGTCTCCTGTTCTCAGCTTCGCTGGCAGGCATGAGGCTGGAGGAAGGTGATATTGCGGTAAGTCGGCTCTTCACACCTACAGACTTTCTGTCCTGGGCACCGGGGTGCTCTGTGTTTGCTACATACCAGATGGTCTGCTGCCTCTAAGGAGCCCTTCCATGATTGTGGAGCTTGACCCCTGTCTGCTTGACAGTGACTAGTCTGCTGGCTATGTGAACTCCTGGGGACATGGGAAGATTTAATCTATGGCTTTCTACATCTAGCGGGGAAGCCATTTGGGAAACTGTTGTTTAGATGATTTTGTATTAAATTCCAGAAAGTCAGGAACAGTGACCATGAGATCCTGGATCTGGGTAGCAGATATTTAACTGGTCTGGTATGGGGAGAGTCACAAAGAAAGTGTCTCTGAGGAGGTGGCAGTTGTCACCTGTAGTATGAGGAATGATGTGATTGAAGGGTGGGGAGATTGTGTGTGTATGTGGTGTGTGTGTGTGCATGCCTGTGTGTATAATGCATCCCTGGCAGAAAGGGAGCTTTTGTAGGCAAGCCCTAGGATGTCACCCTTACCCTCTACTCTGTTCTCAGGTCAGCCTGGGCACCAGTGACACCCTGTTTCTCTGGCTCCAAGAGCCCATGCCTGCCCTGGAAGGCCACATCTTCTGCAACCCGGTAGATGCGCAGCACTACATGGCCCTTCTGTGGTAATCCTGGGACCTCTGGGTCGGGGGAGGGAGATGCAGACAAGTCCCGCTCAATTAAACAGCCCAAGGCATTCCTACTGAATTGCCTCCTGGGTGGCCAAGACCCTGGAGACACAGCTCCTGCTTGACAGCCGACCATTTGGGGTGGGAAAGAGCCCAAGACCCGTAGCCCCCGTGCCTGGGTTCAAACTCTCCCTGTGGCGCAGTGTCCTGTGTGACACTGGCTTTGTGAGTAGGACGTCTACTTCATGGTGCTCTGACATGTCTAACTTGGTCTGTGGGACAGCTTGCTTCCTGAGAGTTTCAACAGTAGGTGTGTGTTCCAAGTCCCGACCACAGGCCTTCGGCACTGTTGAAAGCTACTTGGCTTAGAAGGTTTCTGGGCTGTTAGCACTGAGAAACTCTGGAGAATATTCAGGTCTAGATGTGCTAGTAGCTGCCCCATTGGAGAGCTGATACAAACTATAGGAAGCCCCGTCTGGGCTCCACTGTGGCAGCTTCCAGCATAAACAGAGCCTAGGGTAAGCGTGAGTGAGCCATCTCCCAGGGTGTCCACGGAGCCCCACGAGAGCCGAGGATACCTGCTGCCTGTTAAGCCTGACCCAGGGGTGGTCTAGCCTGACCTGGATGCCTAGGACACTTCTAAAACCCCTGGGTCCAGTCTGAGTGTGAAGTTTAGTAGTAGAATTGGTGCGTAAGCATGTGAAACAAGTGGTTTCCAAACCACACCACAAAACCTGGGAGCCCCAGACCCATACTGTGTGCGTCTCTGCAGCTTTAAAAACGGCTCCCTTATGAGAGAGAAGATCCGGGATGAGACCGCTTCCGGTTCCTGGAACAAGTTCTCTAAGGCCCTGCAGTCCACGGAGATGGGGAACCATGGAAACTTGGGTAGGCCGGGCCCGGGACAGGGTTGGGAAGGCTTGGAGCACCATGACTTGGGGGCATGGAGAAGTTTGAGGGGGTCCTTTCTGTCCACCCTTGTAGCCTCCCGAGCTGGTGTGAGCCCCCAGGTTCTCAGGGTGGGGTCATGAGGCTACGCTTGGCTGTGAAAGGTCAGACTCTAGCTATGTCTTCCACCCTTCAAAGCCCCCGGTGGATGAGATGGCAGCCCCAGGAGCTTGTCAGTATGCAGCTCACTTCCTGCCCAGACACAAGGCTGTGTTAGGAGGAGGAGGAAGGCAGCACCCAGGGCACGTCTGAGAAAGGAAAGCCTGTCTCCTGAGCACAGCTCCCTTGGTGCTCACATTAGCGAGCTGCCAAGGGGAAGTGAGCAGAGTTACCTCAGAACAGCCCAGGCCTCCCCAGTCAGTCCCCTTTCTCGCCTCAGGATGAGGCACAGATGCAGTGACTTTGCTTTACCCTTTTTGAAGTCTTTTGAGAGAGTGTTCTTTGTTCTGGGTCGCTTACAGCTTAATCCCTTCCTGGTTTTGCTTCAGGTTTTTATTTCGATGTAATGGAGATCACCCCTGAAATTATTGGGCGTCATAGGTTTAACGCCGAGAACATTGAGGTACTTAGGTATTTTTTCCCCTCTTTGTGTATGTGTGTGTGTGTGTGGTGTGAACGCTTGCATGTGTGTTGCTGGTGTACATGCATGTGGCAGCTCAGGGTTGACACCGGGAATCTTGCACCTGATGCATTGAGTCGGGTTCTCTCCATCAAACCCAGGGCCCTTCCATTCACAGTTTGGCTAGGCCGGAGCCACCGGCAAGCCGCCGTGCCCAGCCAGTGTTTCTGTGGACTCTTAGGCTCCAAACTCAGGTGGTCCTGCTCACCCAGCAAGCACTCCAACCGCGCTGAGCTGTCTACCCGCCCCAGACACATATGCTGTGGTTTCTATGCACTCTGGTGTCGGTCAGGTGCTGTGTTAACAGCTGGCCGTCAGATCATGCTGTTCATTCATCGGCTTCTCTACAGATGGGCTCCGGGCATTCTAGAGGCTGTGGTCTCAGCAGGGCCTGACAGACCCTGATCCTCCCCTCCAAGGGGGAAGGCAGGGGACTGGAGTGTTCTGTGAACTACTGTCTGCTCCCATTGGTATCACTGGACATTTCCTTGGTGGCTGTACTTTACCCTCCACCTCCCAGCAGCCCTTGGGCCCTGAGGTCAGGAGTTTCTTCCTAGTGGGAAGAACCTGTTGGGAGAGACAGCCACACTCGCTGGACACCACTGGGCTCCCAGCATCAGGCACGTGATTTTAGTATGGTCTTCTTTCTCTAAGCAACTCTGAAGTAGGCACGACAAACCCTTTTTACGACGGGGAAGCTGAGGCCTCAGTGGCCTGCCCAAAGTCACAAGGTCACAGGTGGTGGAGGAAGCCCAGGCCTTCTGGGCTCAGAAGCCACATATCTTTCATTTCCATGGGGCCCCTTCCAGAAGAGTCCTTGTTTGGAATGGGCTTTCTGGTAGTTACCATGTTTGGGGGGTTGGAGCTGGAGGGTGCTTGTGAACCTAGTAGATGCTGGGAGCCTTGGGGAGACACTCTAGTTCCTGTCATAGTCAGGTGACATGGGTTAGGTGTTGCAGATTAAGTGTTACACTCTCAGTAGAATTTATTTTGGATACAATGTAGAAAGTTTTCTGGGCATGGTGATGCAAGCCTTTGATCCCAGCACTTGGGAGGCAGAGTCAGGCATATCTCTGTGAATTCAAGGCCAGTCCGGTCTGCAAGAGTGAGTTCCAGGACAGCCAAGGATATGTAGAGAGAACCTGTTTCAGACAGACAGACAGACAGACGTAGAAAATACACCCTGGTCCTCAGGTTGGAGGTTAAGTTCAGTCTCTGTTTACAGAGAAAAGAGGCTGCCTGCTCTTGTGTACACCAGTCCTAAGCTTATCAAGGAGGAAGTAGGTTCATTCATTCATTCATATTCATTCATTCACTTGGTAGATAGGGTTTTTTTTTTTTTTTCCAGATTTGCTTATAAGCGTTTGTTTGCATGGATGTGTGCCCATCTTGTGTGTGCCTGGTGACATCAGTGGCCAAAACAGGACACTGGATCCCCTGGAACCGGGATTACATATGGTTGTGAGCTGCCATGTGGGTCCTGGGACCCAAACCCAGGTCCTCTGCAAGAGCATCGAGGGGCTGGAGAAGCAGGGCCTCAGCCTGGGGTGACACCTGGGGTGTCACAGGTCACTGTGGATACTCAGGATAAAACCATGGCTGTCAAACATCAACTCCGCAGCCTAAGCCTTGCCAACCTAATTTGGTCATGTGACCTTGAAAATCAGGTTCCACCTGTGCAGCCCTAGGTTAGGAAAGGGAAAACAGGGGAACCCACATGATCAGAGGGGAAACGTGGGAGTCAGAACTTGAACCCTTGGCTGCCTGAGACTGATCGCTGTGATGTTGCTGACCCCTCAGCGGCACACAGGTGAGGTATGAGCTGTGCGTTCGAGAGTGGTGTCTGTGTGAAGGTGTGACACTTGAAATGGGCGGTTAAAGTACCATCACACACCCAGACACACACGCAGAATCCCTCACACCGTGCCAACTTTCTGTAAACAGGTCTCAGCATTCCCTGGGGATGTAGAGATCCGAGCCCTGATTGAAGGACAGTTCATGGCCAAGAGGATTCATGCAGAAGGCCTAGGCTACAGAGTCAGTAAGTGAGCGGCCAGCTGGATGTAGTCTGGGGTTGGGGAGGGGCAGAGGCTCATTACAGGACAGGGTGGCCTCGGTCCTGGGTGAGGTGAGGAAGTGGTCTAGGCACGTGTGAGCAGGATGTATAGATGTCTGTGTACCACTAACTAGCATGCCTGGTGTCTGCAGAGACCAGAAAAGGGCATTGATGCCTCTGGAACTGGAGGTCCAGACAATTGTGAGCTGCCACATGGGTGCAGGGAATCAAACAAGGGTCTTCTGGAAGAGCAGCCAGTGCCTTAACCACTGAACCATCTCTCCAGCCCCTCTTATTTTCTTTCTTTAAATTTTTGGGAATGGAACCCAGGACCTTATGCCTGCCAGGTGAGCACTCTACAGCTGAGCCATGTCTCCAGCTCCCAAACAAAATCTGTTTGTGCCCGGTGGTGGTGATACACACCTTTAATCCCAGCACTCGGGAGGCAGAGGCAAGCAGGTCTCTGTGAGTTCAAGGCCAACCTGGTCTACAAAGCTACACCAAGAAACCCTGTCTTAAAAACAAACAAATGGTCTGAACTGAGCATTGGTGGTGCACGCCTTTAATCCCAGCACTCAGGAGGCAGAGGCAGGCTGATCTCTGAGTTCCAGGCCAGCCAGGTCTACAGAGCGAGTTCCAGGATAGGCTCCAAAGCCACAGAGAAACACTGTCTTGAAATAAAACAAACAAACAAAAGGTCTGCTTGCAAACATAAACATGCATGCATGGGTGTACTTACTGGGTATATTGGCCAGCTCAGGTTTTGTTCCTGGTCAGTCATCATCACATTTAGTTTTAATAGTGTCTAAAAATAAAAAGGGCATTTTAAGAATGGACACACATAAGTAAGTAAACAAATAAATGTTAAAAAGGTTGTTTGTTGGGCTGGGCTGGGCATGGTGGCACATACTTGTAGCCCTAGAACTTGGGAGGTGAATTCCAGTAGATCAGGAGTTCTAGGTCATCTTCTGCTACATAGAGAGTTTGGGGCCAGCCTGGACTAGATGATACCCTGCCTCAGATCCTTGCAAGGGGGGGGGGGAGGTGGAGGAGAGAGGACTCAGTGGTTAAGATTGCCTGCTGCACTTATTAAGACCTGAGTTCAGTCCCCAGCATCCCTTGTCAGTGTATCCAGATCCAGGGGACCCAGTACCCTCTTCTGACCTCTACACGCTCCCACAAGTACATCCGCATCCACAGGCACATACGAATAAAATAAAGTAAAACCCTCTTTAAAGAGCAAAAGAAGAGACCCACCAAAGCTTTTTTGTAGGGCTTGACTACGAGGCCCTTATCAATTGAAGAAAATTCCGTTCTATTATTGACCTATTGGGAGATTTTTTTCCCCCGTTTTTCTAGTTTTTTGGGGGGTGGTAGAGCACAGTGGGGAGCTTGTGTTCAAACTCAGGGCCTCGTGTGTGCTAGGTTAGTGCTCTGTCAAACGAGTGCTACATCCCCAACCCCACATTCCTCATTTGCCTTTTATCTGGTAAAGACAATAAAGGCAGATGGACTGTAGACTGCATATGAGGAGCCCTGAGTGGACAAGCCAGACTGTGGGTCTCTCCACAGCCCTGGGAGGTCAGCAGGGGCCACAAGCCATCCAACGCCGAAGGACTGTCCTTTTTGCCTTGGAAGAATTGCTACAACTATTCTGTTCTATTTCATCTTTTGTTTTATAGTGCCCAAGACAAAAATTCTGGCCACAGGAGGAGCATCTCACAATAAAGACATTTTACAGGTACGTGTGGTGGTGACCCTATACCGCAACGCCTCCCTCGTCATTGCATGTGGGAGCTAGATGTCTTCCTTACTCACTCTTCGCCTGACTTTGGGGAACAAAGACTCACGGAATCTGGAGCTCACAGATCTGACCAGAATGGCTGGCTAGCAATGGTTTGCTTTCCTGGGGCTGGGATTACAGGCACGCACTACACTTTCAGCCTTTCGTTTTTCCTTTTACATGGGTCTCTGGGGGCTTAAAGTCAGGTCCTCGTGCATATATGGTAAGCTCTTTACTGGATGAATCATCTGTTCAGCTATCCATCCATTTGTCTTATGACACTTGAGGTTCTGGGTTAGATTCCCAGCACTGAAACTAAACAAACAAATAAATAACCAAGCAAGTGAACTTAGGGTTTCCATTGCTGTGATAAAACAGCATGAGAAAAAAGCAGCTGAAGCAGGAAGATGATGCACTTGAGATTAGCTTGGGTTACACAGTACATTTCAGGCTGGCTGGAGCTGTGTGGTGGGATCTTGTCTTTTAAAAGCTATAGGGACAGCCTGGAGATTGGTTCTTCCTCCAGGGTCTTCCTCTAGGTCACCCCATCTCATCCCCGCCTCCACCGCTAAGCATACTTAAGGCAGCTGTGGCTGAATGCTCTAGGAAGGAGAGCCTAGAAGGTTCTAAATCACCTCTCTGAGTGACCAATTGCCCCTTGTAACCTCTGTGTCCCTCCCAGGTGCTTGCAGATGTTTTTGGGGCCCCCGTGTACGTCATGGACACCACCAGCTCAGCCTGCGTGGGCTCTGCATACCGAGCTTTTCATGGTAGGTGGATGAAGGGGGCATGGCTGTCTCTGGGAGTGTGAGAAGAGTGGGGATGGGAGGAGACTTAGCCTTAGTCAGGGTTTCTATTGCTGTGAAGAGGCACCGTGACCACGGCAACCCTCATAAGGAAAACATTTCATCGGGGCGGCTCATTTACAGTTTCAGAGGTTCAGTCCATTACCATCATGGTGGGGTATGGCAGTGTGCCGGCAGACGCGGTGCTGGAGAGGTAGCTGAGAGTCCTACATCTTTCAGGCAACAGGAAGTGGTCTGAGACACAACAGTGGGCGGCATCTTGAGCATATAAGAGCCTTCAAAGCCTGCCTCCATAGTGGTACTTCCTCCAAGAAGACCACGCCTACTCCGACAAAGCCACACCTCCTAATAGTGTCACTCCCTCTGGGGTCCATTTTCTTTCAAACCACCGCAGATGATATTCCCAGTTTGAGCACTGGAGTCTCGGGAGCGTTAGCCTCGTTTCTGTCCCTCCCAGCAGGCAAGGATGAATCCAACCCTGTGTCTTTGTAGTCTCTAGTTATGGTGGGGGCAGTGAGGTGGGATTGAAGCAGGATGAGTCCTGATCAGAGTCAGGCTCCGCAGAGAGACAGCAGGGGATCATAGGGCATGCACTTAGGTCTGTACGGCTCGTGGAGAGGAAGGCAGTGGCTGAGGAGGAGTCCAGAACAGCAAGAAACTGAAACAATGGTGAAGGCCTCCGAGCCAAGAAGTCCAGAACCTCGGACAGCTCCCGGGAGGCCCCGGCTCTGATGGCCGTCTGCCTGAAACTTTTCTGAGACATTTCTGGAAGAGAGTTGGGTTAAGGTTCGACCCCTCTGCTAGGGAACTCCTGGGGTCAGGTTCACCAGAAGCCCCTCCCTTCCCTGTCTGCTTCTCACTCCTCAGCACACCTACGTCAACTTGGTATTGCTTTCAACATTGCAAGTGAACGAAGTGCTGTTCTCTTAATAATGAACCCTTTTATCTTCATTCTTCTCTCTCCATCACCCATGCAACTTCATGTAGCAAGATCATTGGGGAACTTCCAGATTTTTACTTCTTACCCCATACTGGGTATGAACCCAGGGCCTCGTGATTGTGGGCTTGGTAAACTAAAGCACAAGCGCCCCTCTCTGTATCTCTCTGTCCTTGTAATTTTTGTTTTGAGATGAGGTCTCAGAATAGTGCAGGTTCGCTCTGGATTCCAGGTGGGCTTTGAACTTGCCATTTTCCAGTAGGTGTAACAAAAACTCACCCATTTTAAGCGGTTTTGCTGTGAATGACTTTTAACAACTTCCGAGAAGGGCTAACCCAGCTTAACCTTGTTCTGGTTCTGGGCAGAAGCCAGGGCCTTTGTGTGCCGAGGCGGCCCCTGCCACTGAGCCACACTGCCAGGCCCTCCTGGTCTGACAGTGTTTATCACCAGAGCAGTGTCTGTCATGCCAGCCAGTTAGCTTGTGATACACATGGGTGTGAGATGACCTTTCCCTTTAGGTCTTGCAGGAGCGGCAGGTGTGGCCTTTTCAGAAGTTGTGAAATCAGCCCCACATCCCAGCCTGGCTGCCACCCCCAACCCTGGAGCTTCCCATGTAAGAAGCATTTGCCTTCTCAGTCCGGCTTGGGTCTCCTTTCTTTTCTTTAAAAGCTAAGCTTTTCTTTCTCATCTGCATTAAACCTGCTAAATGCAACTAGAGGGAAATCTTACCCCTCCCCTACTCCCAAGTACTTGGGGATTGGTCCTAGGGTTTTCCCCAGTGGGGTGGGAAGCATGCACTTGGTTGTAGAATGGAAACTGGTCTGCTGCAAGGACAATCGTGGTCTTGATCACGACACCATCTCTCCAACTCCTGGTTTCAAAAGTAAAAATAAAACAAAGTTAATTTTAATAAAATATTTCCCTTAATCTAATGTGTCCAAATTATCATTATCTTAGCTAAGGTAAGAAACTACTGATGTCACCAGGCGTTGGTGGCACACGCCTTTAGTCCCAGCACTCAGGAAGCAGAGGCAGGCTGATCTCTGTGAGTTCGAGGCCAGCCTGGTCTACAAGAGCTAGTTCCAGGACAGCTTCCAAAGCCATAGAAGCCCTGTCTCGAAAAACCAAAAAGAAATTACTGATGTTTTGGAAATTTGGAGTTTTGTAAGCATGTTTCATTTAAATTTTTTGTTCATCTTATGTGTATGAGTGTTTTGTCTACATGTATATTTATCCGTAGTGTGCATTCTTGGTACCTGAGAAGTGTCAGATCCCCTGGAACTGAAGTTACAGACCATAGTGTCACCTTGTGGGTGCTGGGACTCAAACCTGGGTCCTTTGGGAGGTTAGCTAGTGCTCTCAACCACTGGGGGCATAGCTCCAGACTCAGAATTTACTTCTTTTCTTTTTTGGTTTTTTGAGACAGGGTTTCTCTGTGTAACAGCCCTGGCTGTCCTGGAACTCGCTCTGTTGACCAAGTTGGCCTTGAACTCAGACCCACTTGCCTCTGCCTCCTGAGTGCTGGAATTAAGGGCATGTCCCACTGTGGCTGACTCAGAATTTACACTTGCAAATGTAAGAGGTGATTCCCCTTCATTATCAACTGCCCTTTCTACCCCTCCAGGTCTATGAGGCCCTTCTCCCTCGGTATGCTGAGCTTGAACAGAGAATCTTGTCTCAGGCCCAGAGGCCTCTGCAATGACATCTCAGGCCCCTGCCAGCTGCTGTCTGCTGCTGGCCCAGACTCCTCTTGCTTGTTCGGAGCAGCTCCCCGGCTGTGTGGACTCAGCGGAGTGCTCCTGTCCTGGACCATCCTGAAGCTGGCCTTGACTCCCTGGAGACATGTGGGCTGCCCATGTCCCAGGGTGGGACAGAAACTCTCCTGTCTTCCATTCCGTGAGGCAGGAAAACACAGTGTAGGGTATGGCCACCGGAGATGATCGATCACATTCCCCCCGCTTTCAAAGGCAAAAAGAAAGCTCTTTCAGGACCAAACTCAGCAGAATAGGGGACAGCCTTCTCCCTGCCTGACCCCTCCTCACTGGTCCTCACCCCACGCTGGGACCACCCCATCCTTCCCCCAGACTTTGCCCCACCCCACCCGCCCAGCTGTTTCCACCTTCCTGCTTCTTTAGGTGCGTTCCCAGGGTCCTCTCCTGGTGCCCATCTTCTTCTTCATCCTTCCCTTACCTACCTGGTATAGCTTCCCACTCAAGGTGACCTTGGCCTGGTGAAGATCCTTCCTGTGCCCAGCTCTGTCGATACCTGACTGGGGCTGACCAGGCTACCTGGCTGGGCCATCGCCCAGGCTAAACACTGTCATTGTAGTTAACATGATGGCAAAATTGTGTTTCTCTTTGAGGAACTCTGTTTGTTTGGGTTTTTGTGTTTTTTTTTTTTTTTTTTTTTTTTTTTTTTGAGGCAAGGTCTCCCGTAGCCCGGCTGCCCTCAAACTTTCTTTGCAGCTGAAGGTGACCTTAAACGTATGATTTTCCTGCCACCATCTGCCGAGTGCTGGGATTAAAGGCATGTGCCACCACACCAGGTTTATGCAGGGAGAGTAGGGGATCCTGGTGCGTGAGTGCCTACTGGGCCAACACCCTACCAGCTGAGCCGCACCTCCAGCCTGGATTTCCTTTTTATTGTTCTCACGTGCAAGCATCCTATTACACTTTCACAGAGGCTGAGTCTTCCTCCTCTTCAGGCCTTTTTACTTTTGACTCCTCTGCCCCTGGCTCAGATAAGCTCACTCACCCTCCCCCGACTCCCACCAGGGTTTTCCTCTGCCGAAGGCTGTACCAAACTCAGGACTTGTTTTAAACTAGACCACTGACCTGGTACAGTGGCAAGATCATGGGGATCAGAGCCGTGGCCACTGGGAGGTCCAGAGGACAGAGCATAGACATGCATCTTCCGCCCGGAAGGGAAGGCTCCATGTGTGATGGGCAAAGAAGCTGCCGGCAACCATCTGCACCACAGCAAACCCAAGATGGGAAGGAGACGCTGCTGGGCCGCCTTTTTGTTAGAGTTTACAAACACCGAGCAACAGCATCCGGGACCACAAAACAGTAAACTAAGATGACAGTCCAACATAGATCTTCCTTACAATAAATCAGATGGTTGTTGTAGAAGAAGAAAAGGACACCATGGGTGACAAACTACAAAACAAGTTCCAATGGAAACACAGCAAGCTTTTGGGGAAGAGTGACTAAACAGAACAGCTTGGTGACAGGACTGTCTCACAACACAGTCATCAGAGAGGGGGCAGCTGTGGCGGAACTCAGGGAGGTGCCAGGAAAGAAGAGAAGAGAAAACACAGGTAGCATCCAAGAGACTAGAGCCCTGTTGCTAATTGAAGCTACCAAAAATAAAAACAAATTTTGAAAGCATCCCAAATCAACGTGTGCTCCTCCCTCCTTCCTTCCCTCCCCCTCTCCTACCCCCCTCCACCCCTTTTAGCGGTGGTGGGGCTTGGATCTGTGACCTCGAAGATGCTGGAGATTAGTGATGGCCATGGGCAGGTGAAGGACCGGAATCTTTCAACACTTTACTACCTGGTTTTATAAAGGATGAAGGTCATTAGTTCCATTCTTACCCAAATTTCCTAGTTAACCTGGTTATAGAAGGGTTTCATGGTGACATTTAGGCTTTGTAGCATGTTGGCAGGGCCAGCGCCACAGGCCATACCAGACTCCACAACAAGGCTAGGAAAGGTCACTGAGCATGCACATGCCCTGGAACAACATTTTCAAAGAACTAAGACAAATATAAGAACGTGGGATGACTCAGTGGGTAAAGGGGCTTGCTGCCAAGACTGGTGATCTGAGTTCAATCCCCAGACCCCATATGGGAAGGGCAAACCAACTCTCCAGCAAGTTGTCCTTTGACCTCCACACATAGGCTGCGGCAATGTGCATGCCTCCCTCACCCCGCACCATGTAAGCACATGAAAACGAGTGTGCTCAGGTCTGCACCTGGCTGAGATAACCCAAGTGTCAAGGATGTAGAAAAATGTCTTAGTCATGCCGGCTGCGCCGAGGTTTACTCACAGCCTCTTAGCACAGCTGTGGCTCTGCCAGGTGACGGGGGGAACCTGAGCAGGACACGTGAGTGCTGACAGGGACACTGTCAAATGGCGCTGCTTACATAGGTCCTTTCTGTTGCGCCCTGACCCAGGGCAATGTGGTGCAGTAGAGGGTTACTTTCATTTCACAGTTCCACACCACAGTGATCCCTGAGGGAAGTCGGGGAAGAAACCATGGGGGAATGCTGCTTCTGGCTCCATCACAGACTCACAGTCAGCCGTGTTTGTTTGTTTATTTATTATTTTATTTTATATAACAAAGTCCAATTAAATGAAAACAAACATTTATACACAATATTTGGGAATTTGGACGTTGTTCTTTCCAAACTACTTCTTGCTGGTAAGGGGCACTGTCATGGGGGATTCTAAGAAGATTCAGAAATCCTGGCTGTAGTCTGTCAGGCTGCTTTGTCCAGCTGTTTTGAATGTAGGATCACCTCTTACTCTGTTTCAGGTGGTCTGGCTTGATCAAACCACATTAGTCTGGAAGGAATCCACATCTTTTCATTTTCTGTGGAAACAAAAATAGAACTCCTTTTCCCCAGTAACTTGTCCTTCAACTTAAATTTTGGAGTCAAAGCATTTTTTTAAAATTTAATTTATTATTTTACATGTCGATCCCAGTTCCCTCTCCCTCCCTCCATCCCTCTCTCCCTCCTTCCCTCCCTTTTACCCTCTCTGCCCTCTCACATGCAACCTAACCACATTCCCCTCCCATCCCCCCACCCCAATTCCATATGTAGGGGAATGCCATCCAGTTGGGGTCATGTAGGTCTGACAGGTCATGTGAAGTAGGGACTAGGGCTTCTCTCCTGTCTCTAGATTAAGGCAGTTATCCCTCCATGGGGGATGTGTTCGCCAGGTCCTTTTGTGCACCAGGGATACATGCTGGCTCCACTGTCTGAGGTCTCTTAGACTGCTCAGACCTTCTGGCTGAGACCCATATTCAGGGGGTCTGAGTCAGTCCCATGCTGGCTTCCCAGCTATCAGTGTAGTGGCCATTAGCTCCTCCTTGTTCAGGTCAGCTGTCTGTATGTGTTTCTGCCGCATGGTCTTGTCCTCTCCATCTGCATCTGGGTTCTAGTTCGACTCAGTGTTTATGTATGGGTGTTTGATCCTGTTTTCAACAGGCATTAGTTGAGGGCTCCATGGAGAAGTTAGTTGTTGATCTCACTCTCCGGGAAGGGCATTTATGATAGCCTTTCCACGGAAGCTCAGATTGTTAGTTGGGAGCAGTCTTGTAGTTCTCTAGACCTTTCTTTGTGTTCAATTTTATCTTCAAACCAATATTGTCTCCCTCTTTTATGTTCTCTCTCTGTCTCTGTCTCTCTCTTTCCTGTCTTCTATTCCTAACCAGGCTCAGTCTTCCTGGTCGCACATGTTTTCCTTTCCTCCCCCTCATTTTCTCCTACTTCTCTCTCCATTCGCTGCCCACCCCCACTTCCCCTGAGCTCTGGGGGACTTGTCCCTTCCCAGTTCTGTGAGGGACTTTATATGAATCTCTTAGAATACACCTTGTATCCTAGTTCCTCTGGTGATGTGAATTATAGGCTAGAGATCCTTTGCTCTAGGTCTAAAATCCATATATGAGTGAGTACATACTATGTTCCTCTTTTTGTGACTGGGTTACCTCATTCAGGATGGTTTCTTCAAGTGCCATCCACTTGCCTGCGAATTTCAAGATACCATTATTTTTTTCTGCAGAGTAGTATTCCATTGTGTAGATGTGCCACATCTTCATTAACCATTCTTCAATTGAGGGGCATCTAGGTTGCTTCCAGGTTCTTGCTATTACAAATAGTTCAGCTGTGTTTCTTAAACAGCCGGGGCACACAGGCCTAGGAATGATGCCACTCACGGTAGTCCAGTCCCGCCCATAACACCCGTCAATCAAGAACAGTCTCTCACAGACATGCCCTATCTGATGTGGACAGTCCTTCAGTTGGGAGTCCCTCAAATAACTCTAGACTGTGTCAGATTGACAGCTGTAGCCAACCAGGACAGCAGAGGACAGAAGAGCTGGAAAAGGAGGCATGCAATTTCCAGGAGTTAAAAATACTTAAAATTAGCTGGGTGTTAAATCCCAGCAGAGGCAGACAGATCACTGTGAGTTCAAGGCCAGCCTGGTCTACAGAGCCAACTTCAAGACAGCCAAGGCTACACAGAGAAACAAAAAAACAAAACAAATAAACAAACAAAAAATGCAGACCAAATACTAAAGGCTTAAATAATAAAACAAGGCTAACTGACAATAAAACTACTTTGTAATATCAAAGGCGTTAGTATTAAAAACTATACTATCAGTATAATAAAAGATTCTTAAAAGCAATAAAAAAAATGCAAATCTTGGCACCAGGGAGATGGGACGGTGGGTAAAGGTGTTTGCTGCCCTGCTCTATCACCCGATTACACCCCTGGAGTGGAGCACTGACTCCCACATGGGGTTAACTCACACAGGTGCCCTGTCACATGGAGACCCTTACATATACAGAATGAATGGATGGATGGATGGATGGATGAATACATGTACAGTGCAAATCTTCCCTCCATGTTCAAAGAGAAGGTAAACATCACATAACAAGCAACGCATGAATCAACAGACATTCTAGCATGGGTCCAGTTAAATGTGAGAG